CCCCAAAACCCCAAAACCCCAAAACCCCAAAACCCCAAAAATGGTTCTAAATATTGAACCAAATATCAGAATATCCTCTAAAATGCCTTTACAAATAAGTATGGCTTCTCAGTCGCCAAATCATAGCTGGGAGGGTCTATAGTATACAGCAAGCTGTTCACTATTCTTTGCTTGAGAGCCTTAGTGCCTGCTTTGGGCTTGAAGAAGATGCCCATCTCATAATTGCCAATAAAAAGGGTCTTCCCTATATTTCTCATGGTGCCCCAGGCACCTCCAGACATGTTGTGGGACCCTATGTATATGGCTGAATTATCGTCTATTTCTTGGTCCTTCTCCTTAATAATCATGACCTTGGAATGGTGCACATTTCGAGTATATTCCTTCGAAGACTCCTTATATTCAAATTTATGGAATAAATATCTTGGGAAATCTTTCTGATCAAACCAGAAATCTTCCCGCAATTTTAAGCAATTTGATGGAACTCCTTCGTGAGCGTCCTGGACTTGCTGGTCTTCTGGATAAATGAACTTGACTCTCTCCTTCATAGTCACGCTGGTGTATTCGATCTTGTCACCGAACATGCTCATGACAAACTCAGTGACAAGCTTGGTGTAGAGCTTGCCGAAGCTAGTACATTGGTAAATAAGCTGAGTATTGTCCGTGACTTTGAACTCTTCAGAGTTCTTCATGATATTCTTGACTCGAATCATGCCTTGATTATCAGCACTACCATCCTCAATCTTGTAGTACCCGTTGATAGAGGGAATCAGGTCAACAGCAGCATCTCTATAGAGAGTTTAGAGTCAAATTACCTGAAGTCGTATTTTTCAAAGTTAATCTCTCCTCTAATAACTTGTCTAAAAAGCTTGCCTGATTCTGGAGGGTCTATTCCTAGTTAAATCAGTCACTAACCTTTCATCTTATCAATTGCAAATTTGTCGATAAGCACGTCTTTATACACAGAAGGAGCTTTCTTAACAGTGATAGTCGTCTCAGAAGGCATAATGTCTTGGAAAAACCTCATTAAATCTGTCTTGAACCTACACTCGATGGGGTCAGAGATATATCTGAAGTCCTGGAACCATATCAGTTGTCCGAGTCATTCCCATTCCAGGCCCATGAAGTTGCAAGTGGTCACCACCACTCTCAAAAAGTGTGGGAACTTGATGAGCATCACCTTGGGATGGAACACAGAAAATTTTCCTTTGAGGTCTGGCAAGATACACCTCATGTTAATCTCTGGGAAATCAAGCACTGATTTTCCCGGTTCTACAGGAACAGTTGCTGTTTGGTACCCATGCTTAAACATGGTGCACTCTATCTTTTTCTTAATGAGAGTCTTGGCGATGAAGCTATCTTCAGAGACAAATGTGGTAAATACTACATTTTCTGCTTGGGTCGTCTTCTCTTCCTCCTTGATTAAGTCAGGATTGTTAAGATACTCATCCAGTAAGTCAACAAATTTGATCATATCTGGTCGGTAAATCGTATAAAATTTCAAACGATTATGGAAAATCCGTCGGCCGTCCCTGAAGTTTTCCTTCAATTCATCAAGATCAAATTTGTATTCCTCATCAAGTTTCTGTTCAGGGAACTCTTCTTTCTCTTCCTCTGCTTTGCTCTTTTGAGTAGAGGATGCCTGAGTGCTAGACTCTTCCTTCTTCGGAGTCGACTTCATCTTAAAAAATTTAGTAATCAAGTTCTGCTTCTTCATTTTAAAAATACACAACGCGAAGTAAATTTTATAATTATCTTTCAATCTGATCTTGTAGCTAAGGGGTTTTGGGGTTTTGGGGTTTTGGGGTTTTGGGGTTTTGGGG